AATCTTCTTTGACGCATCATGGTAATCTTTCTATACTTTCTATCTAGGAATTGTTTTCAAAAATATTTTATCGGAGAGAGCCGATAATTTAAGCTTTTCATTAAGCTCAGAAAAATCTTGATCAGGTAAAATTTGACATCAGTTATTGAGGTATACAAAAAAATGATTGAACTACTGAAATGACTATTATAAGTAAAACAAATCAACCAAAATTTCAAAAAAAACTGTTTTTACGATTGAACAATCTTGATAAAAATTAATTGTTTTGTTGAGTAAAACTTAAGCTTTTTCATAAACTCAAAAGCCTGAGCTGTAATTAAGTCAATCATTCATTTGACTGAATGCGGGAAGGACAGTTTATTCGATTACTTAAATGACTTTAACCAAATAGAGTGGTAACAGGGTGAAAATTCAGGGCTGTATTTTTTTTTCTAATTATGAAGCGTGAAACCTCCATTGTCTGCTAGTACAATACCAACAGTCTTCTTATGGACAAAACCATTGTATTCACAAATTCACAATCACATTAAACTCCTTATGCTTTGCATTAAGTGTACGGTTCGATAATCCAAAAAAGTCAAGCATCATTAGCCTATTAATCCAGAAATGCAGCTGCTTTAAAAACTTTTTGCTGACAGAAGTTTATGTGATTCCTATAATTGATAGATATTTGAGATCTTTACTAGACCGTTACTAATTTTAAAAGTATAAGTACTTTTTCCGCAAATACTCAAAGCAACAAAAACAAATTTTATCATATACATTCAACATCTATATAAGCTGCTTATCCTAAAAATTTAAATAAGTGATAGAAATTAAATAAAATAAAAATAAAAAATTTTGATTTTACCTTATTTTGATTCATGTACGATAAGCTTGCCTAGTTCTAAATGAAAGATTGCTCTGCCAAATGCTTATGAAGAACTGTATGTGCAACGTTTTTTCTAGATCGTCTTAATTTAGATTCTGTCATGATATTTAATCAATTATATAATTTAGATATTAAAATTTTATATTTGAAATTGAGAGTGGTGTTTATTCAAGATTTCTTTCAGATGAACACATCAATTGTCATCAATAAACATGTTATTTCTTCTATCTCCACTTTTTATAAACTGGCACTAAAATAATATGAAATTATAATTAATTAAAGCACACAACCATACACATACGGCTTGTTCTGAAATAATAGGCCCTGGCCACCACTGGTTTATGTTTATTTAACTATGCTGGCCACTTTCCTCTTCGCTAAAGTAAACAGATACTACATATAAAAGGATATCTTTCTTCTAATTAGTTTTAATGTGCATGTATGATTGGAAATAATGACAAACTGTAACTTTAGCGGAAAACTAAACTTTTTGAAACTAGTGGAAAAAAATTAAATTGTATCTGTCAAATTTCAAATTTCGGCCGGCCATTTTACTTCGCATGTTGCCGCCATGAACGCCCTAAACGTACCAACTGTCAGGAACAATTTTACCTCTTGTCATCTTGTACGTACATGATTTGAAATTAAACGTAAAATGTGAATGTTGATATTGAAAAATGCTTCTGAATCAAACTAGTAAAGAAACATTAAACCACTACAATTACTCTTCTTTTATCTAAAATTATAAACTGTATCTGTCAAATTTCATATTTCGAGCAGAAACTTTGCTTCGCCATTTCGCCGCCATGAACGCCCTAAACGCACCAAATGTCAGATTTGTGGACTTGCCTGCTGCATTATTAGTAGCAAAATTCAGTTTTAATATTTGTGTTCCCTAAGAAAACATTATTAAGATAAATGAATTAGCTTTATTTGCAATATGTCCAAAATCCGAAACGAAAGGCGTCCCAAACAAGGGCGGACAGATTTTCGCAAATGTCGAAGCAAGAAGAATTATAGCTGAAAAGAAACGTCTTATAGAAGCAAAATTAAAAATGATGGAAAACTGACAATATTACAAGCTCAAGCCAAGTCGCATTAGATAATAAGCTAGATCAAATGTATGCCATTTTAGTGCTTATCATTATATTTCAATTATAAGTACATTTTTTTAGATCTGGAAAACCTTCTCTGGTCAATAGTTTTTCAAATGATGGTTCCTTCCTAGAGAAGTTTTAAAAAAATTTCTAATCCTGTTTCGAATGAACCAGTTCCCGCCAAAGGTAATGCAGAAAAGAAGCAAAGCAAAAACTTCAATAATAATGCAAACAGGTAAACATATTTGAAGTATTATTACCTATTAAATTTATAGTATTATTATTATGTGGGTTTGGGTAAGTGTTCTAATTGCTGTAAAATATATAAAATTTTAGTTCATAGTTTAATATTCATGTAACACTATATAGAAAATGCATTCATACATTTGCTAAAACTTTTTTCATGTTGTCTTAACTTTTATTGGGTGTTTCATAAATAAGATCATTTTATGCAACTTGACCACAGTAATATTAGTAGTTATGTTGATATTGCATATAGCGTAATAAAAACGACATCTAATTCTTAATTTAAAAGGCTAAAAAGAACTCTTGTATGAAAGTAAATAAAAAGTTTCTGGTTAAGGAGAGTTGAAATATACACACAATGTGAATAGATTGTTATAAAAGCTTTTGAAAGCTTTTTGTGCAATATCAACACTTTTCTTTATCAGAATAATAATATTTTTGATATAAGCTGATTTCAATTTCATTTTCGCAATGATGATTAACAATCTCATAATAAAAATCACAGATGTTCATAATTGCTTAATATACTAATGATAATAATAAAATCCAGGCTGTCATTTAACATATTGCAACAGGATTTTACTGCTTTAAAAATGAAATTTTAAGATGCTAGCATTAAAACTTGTTTTTGCATGAAAATAATTCATATTAATCATAATTTCATAACCACATTTGGGCATTCAAATAATGTATTACTTAGTAAAAGTTTTAATTTTGATATTACATTTGTGTGATCATTTACCATAAATATACACATTTTATATTAGTACAATTCACTTTTCAAATTATATTAATTCATTGACTGAGTCTTATGATTATATCTTAAATTATCTTAATTTATTAACTGAGATGCATGTTATAATTATTCTTTATTTTTCAGGGTCTATTGTATATATGTTTAACATTATTATTATTTAATTTTACCTTAGGTTTATTATAACGAGCATGATAGATGACTTAATTAGATTTTTTGGAAGAGCAAATATTTTTATCAAATAATTATATTTTCAGGAGTAATAATCATAATAGATGGAATAATAATAAAAATGATAATCAAAGAAGTCATCGTAATAATAATCAAAGAGATTATAATGATCGTAGGCAGCAGGTCGAAAATGTGCAACAAGATTCATTTAATTTTGGATACTCTGGAAATACTAGATTTCAAGAGAACAATTATCAAGGTGGAATGTATGGAAATATGAACAATGCAACTAATTATCAAAATTGTACTCAAGATCCGTATATGAGCCAAATGAATTCTTCACAGCAGTATCCAATAATAGCAAATGAAAGAAATAATTGGAATAATTCTTATAACGGAGAACAAAGATCCAATGTCAATCCTCAAACTCATGCCAATATGTCACAGCCGCCACCTCGTATCAATCATGCACCACCTAGTATCCTTCAATCAACAGATATTCATCAGAGGCCTCCAGGAATGCCTTCTATGCAATCTAATATATCGCAGTCGGTCAGCATGCATCAAGCACCACCTGTGACATCTCAACTTAATTCAACTGCAGTGCCAGCTGGATTGCCTCATGTTCGAATGTCTCAGCCGCCTCCCCTTTTGCCTCCAGGAGTTTCTCAAACGCATCCTGTTATACCATCATTAACGAGTTTAGTGATTCCTCCACCTACTGGGATACAGTTAAATCCATCAAACAACACTCAAGTACCTCCTCCGCCGCTACATCCACAAATGCCAATGTCAATGTCACTGCAGCAAAATGTTCAAATACAACCTTTGACATCAAATGCACAGATAAAAGCTTCAGTTCAATCTCCTTTACAAATTCAATCTCCCATACAAACAAATACACAAGCACAAACTTTAATTCAAACAAATATACAAATTCCTCCTCCAATGACTTTGCATTCTATACCAGAACCTCAGCCTTTAGATGCGATGACCATACCAAGACCAGCACCATTAAATTTGCTTTCTATACCACCACCATTACCATTGTGCTTGAATCAGATACCACAGCCAAAAGATATTGATGTTAGAAATATTCCACCTCCTCAGCAAATGAATGTATCTGGTATCAAGATGCCTGATAGCACACCACTATTTCCAGTAAAATCAAAAGGTAATGATAAACATGTAATTGTCTGTAGATCTTTACTGTGAAATGTTTTAGAATTGATTGTGATAATGTTGAGTTTAAAAGACGAGCTGCTTCATTAAATTTATTTAAAGAATGCAAAATTCTTTATTATTTTTAACATATAATGTAATTGTAAGAATTTGAGATTGGATTTTGCATCATTATGTTTAAACATATTTTTTTATATACATATTTTTTAAATTTTACTTAATCATCAAAATCTATTGAGGCAACTCACCTTCAATTATATGAAACTCTTATTCCAATTATATGAAAATAATAATCCATCATGATTACTAAATTTTTCTCTCATAAATATGAATCATTCTAATCATAAAGAATTACACATATAATTTTTCATCATTCTGCAAACTGGCTGAAAAATTTACTAAGATTTGTTTTGTACTTGGGGGATGCCAAACAAGAATTTTATTTAAGATATATGTTTTCTTAAAACATAAGAAGTTTTGAAATTGAAAAATGTGTTTATAAAAAAAAAACTCTGTCGTAATTTTTCTCCAGCATTTTCAAATAAATATTTAACTAAATTAAACATTCGGCTATTTTGAAGATAATCTTCTGAAATGATGTTATTAAATAGTGATACAGAATTAAAAATTCAAAGTATTCATGACATGTGGCGCTTACATCCGTTTTCAAGTCCAAATTTAAAAAAAACTTTTATGTATTCATGATCTCATTATTATTTTTGTTGTATGGAAGTCAGTACTGCTGCTGACGTTTTTGTGTATAGTTTTATCCACAGATGATCCAATGTTCCAAAACGATGGCTCGAATGATCAGTGTGATAGAAAACGAAATCCTGGGAGTAACCCAATAGAACGTGTTGCTAAACTTGTTGTAGAAATTGGAGATGGATATGAAGAGATCTTTAAACAAAAACACCAACACGAACCAGAATTCTGGTAAAATTGTATACAAGAGATAATGTATACGTTTTAGGATCTGCGTAATATGATTTACATTTTATATATATAAACACGATAATAATATTTATATATTTAAATTTGTATATTGTGTTATATATCGGTATGCTGAGACTTCAGATCTGTGGGCTTTATATATAGCACAGATTAATCATTTATCATATTTGAAAAGTTATTTTTCATTGCATTTGTAGACTTGAACTACAAGGTTCTGGACTGAAATCAAATTAAAAGATAGATGGCAAATAATTCAACAATCCAATCTACATACATTATTATAAAATTTGTTTGATCTTCAAATCAAGATGGAACCTTTTCAATTTATGTTATGTAAAATATACTATAAAATAATAATTCATAGGGAATATACATACAGATTGTCACTCAACTTTCTGTTGTTGGATTTACATACTCAAGTTTACTGATATCGGTGCATTTTGTTCCCAAGTTATATTTTTATATGGTTGTTTCATTTCAATACTTTGTATAAAATAAGTTTATAAATAATCTTTATTACTGTGGTCAACAACTTTTATTAATGGAGGTATTTAAGGTCTATTTATAATGTTTTACCAAGAAAGAATTATTATTGCAAAGCCTTGTAGTTAAAGACTATTTTTGCATTAAATTTCATATACAATATGGATTACAAAGCAAATGAGTAATTGTTAATTGTTCCAGGTTTTTGTTTAATCCTGAATCTGCAGAATACACAGAGTACAAGGATTTGGTCAAAAAGTTGAAGGAAGATAAACCGAATCAATGTTACAGTCCGGAGGAATTATATGAACCTGAATATAGTTTAAATGATGATGAGGAAGATGAGCAAGATGTCAAAATTAAAATTGAAAAGTGTTCTCCAAAAAAAGAGCAAATATCATTAGTGTCCCAATTTTATGATGATGTTAATGATCAAAATTCTATCGAAGGTGATACTAAAGTGAAGGTAGAAAAAACTGAAGATATTATTGACAGTGAAGAAAATAAAAGGAAACGGAAAAGGAAAAGTCGATGGGGAAGTGAGAAAGATATTAACCCAGTACTTCCTGCACCAAATGTTGTGCATGTACCTAGCTTAGGTAATTTACAGTTAATACATTTAATAAATTACTGAGTTATTTTCAGATGTAAAAATATTCTTTTCGTGTTAATAAATATGAAGCATTTTAAAGCATGTAAAAACATTCTGACTTTCTTTCTTTTTTTAGGAATTGCTCTCCCTCCTGATGTTGCACCATTGACAGTACCCGCTCCGAAAATATCAATAAATAAAGTAACAAGAACGGATAAAGCACTCCTTCAATATGCTAAAAACACATTTGGAACTACAGATCTTTCAGAAGAAGATTGGGTAAAAGCAGAAGATCATTTCAAAATTAATTTGTTATATCAAGAAATGTTACGCAAAAGGAAAGAACTGGATCAACTTGCAAAGAGTGGGAAACATAAATATGAATATGATTCAGATGAAGAAGTTGAAGGTGGAACCTGGGAGCATAAACTACGATCACAAGAAATGGAAGCAACTCAGGTATGTAATAATGAATTTAATTTGTGATAAACTGTATTAATAATTTGGCTTAAGGTTTATTTGGGCAAATAATATTTCAAACTCAATATAGGAAATTCAATATTATTAACTTCCCGTAAGGAGAAGTATGTTTTCATCAAAAAATCCGATTCGCTAATTTTATGTTTTCTCGACGTTTCAAGCCATTCTGAATCGAATGAGACCAAATTTGGAAAAAGTATGTGTGTGTGTGTGTGTGTGTGTGAACAGATTTTTTGATGTAAATCGACTCAAAAACGGCTGGATCGATCGCAAATATTTAAAAGCAATTCGATGTATCTCGATGAGGAGGCGTTTATCAATTTTGCGCGACGATCAGTCAAGCCATTTTTTTTGTAAAATGAAAAATTTATCGTCCACGTTTTAGCTCGCAATTCTGAATCGATTTTGAAAATTCAAAAACTGTTCGAAAGATATTGGTTGGGAATCGTGCTGATTAGTTTTTGGTAAAGATGCCTATTTTTACCTAACGGGCCGTTTTCTTGTAATAAAGTGTTCAAAAAATTTTCGACGATTTTTGATTTTTTTTGACGGTAGATACATAGTCTTATAGATCATACTAAAATGTTACGGCCCTACGACAAGTTGTTTAATTTTAAAAATTCGTCAAAGTTTGCAAAGAATCGTTTTTTTTTTGCGTAAGTCAAAATTAGACCTTTGTTCCATTCCATTTTAGACCATCGACGTTTGTTCAAAAACGCCTGAACTGATTTCAGAAATTTAAAAGCTATTTGATGTATCTTGATGAGAATTATCGTTTCTCAGTTTTGTACGACGATCGGCCAAGTGATTTTTTTGCAATTTGGAAAAAAGTGTTAAACTTTTTGTCCACATTGAAGCTCATCCTACCAAATCGATTTTATAAAATCAAAAACTGTTCCTGTTAGTTGGGAATGATACTTATTAGTTTTAGGTAAAAATCTACCGAGCCATTTTCTTGTAATTAACTGTTGAAAAAAAAACTTAAGCCGATTTTTATGAAACTATTTTTGGCGATATATATCATGGTCTTATAGAACTTACTGAAATATTACAGCCTTACGACGAGTAGTTTAATTTTAAAAATTCAAAGTTTGAGCAATTGAGTAGTTTTTTTGACGTTTGTTAAAATTAAAATTAGACGATTTACTTGGTATAACGATGGTGTACTTGGTCTTAATGAACATACTAAACCATTAAAGTCCTACGAAAACTGGTTCAGTTATAAAAATTATTGATTTTTAAAAATTTCCTTTTAGAAAATACTCGAAATTTTTTTAATGACTCATAAATTAATTTATATTTTATTGATTAAGTCGATTATTTACACATATTAGAAAGTTCATGTAACTTGCCTCAAGGCAAAATACCAATACCAACTAGTTTACTATTATTTGTCATTGATTTATATGATAATATTTGATGGATGTTTAAAATCTTAATTTCTGTAGAAATGGGCTGAAGAGTTAACTAAAAAATCTGAAGGTAAACATCATATTGGCGATTTTTTACCTCCGGAAGAATTAAAAAAGTTTATGGAAAAATATTCTGCTGCTAAAAATGGCCGTGAGCCTGATATATCAGACTATAAGGAGTACAAACTAAATGAGAATAATGTAGGATTTCAAATGTTACAAAAATTAGGCTGGAAAGATGGAGAAGGACTTGGTTCCAGTGGCAGTGGAATAGTAGAACCTATTAATAAGTGAGTAATATATTTTACAATAATTTATATATTTTAATGTGATTTACTTATTTTAATTGCCACATTTTAATTATTAGTAAGATGTGAACTTTAGCTTCACTATTGTGTCCAATATATAGTATATTATTCAAAATTATATTGAATTTTATGTATTCTTTTATGAAATCCAAAACATCTTAACAAAATTTGTTTCTTCATTTCAATATTATAACAACCACTTTTCTTTTACAATCTAGAGCCCCAAATCACGAAAATAATCAAGGTTTAGGAATTGACAGGCCAGAAAATTTACAATCTGATGATAATGAATATGATGCATATCGTAAACGAATGATGTTAGCATACAGATTTCGGCCTAATCCATTAGTAAGTTCAGACAGTCATACAAAAAGGTATTACTTTTTTTTTGTTTTTGCAAAACTAAGTTTATTCCTCTTGCAGAATAATCCAAGAAGGCCCTATTATTAAACAAGTTTGGTAGGTAATCGATATCTATTTATATAAAAAAATGAAATAATATTTGAAAGTTCTCCTTTAGATATTTATATCTATGATGGAGTGATTTTTATATCTTATTTTTAAGCTATGTAATATTTTGTTTAATTTAATTCATACTCATTTACTATAAATGACAAAAAAGAAATAAAAGTGTGATTGTTGACAACTTATATTGAATAATATTTACAGCAATTTCAACACATTTATTTTAAATATAGCATCAGAGATTTAATACTAATTATGATATAGTTAAAAATTATTAAAAATTGGATTCAGAGAATACTGCTTCCCACTTTGTAGCTACCATATTCTTATTTTTATAAGAAGGTTTTCAACTGATATCGCGGTTTTTCGATGTTATTCTAGCTGCCACTGCGGCTTGTGCGTACTTGTTTGTTTAGATTTGAAAAAAGGTAAATATGATGTAGTTTATTAACACTTTGAAGACCAAATGGCCATCAATAGGCACACGATATCTGTTATCTGGAATAGATCATTTTTTATGCAGTCTCATCAAGGAAAGCACGATTTATGAGGTGGTCTTTTGATGTTCTAAACTTGAAGCAAATATTACTTTGCTTATAATATAAATTGAAAGTGAAACTAGATATTTAGGGGTATTGACCTTTTTCAATATCTTAATGTTGATTGACAAAGTGTTTGATTTGTGAAATTTTTAGATGCCGATATTTATGATGATCCATTTTTTTTTTTTGCTTTTTTTATATGAACGGTACTATTTTAAAGACAAGATTTCATAAGGTTTTTGATCTCATTATTACAGCTTTTCAAATTTGACAGAATTGAGATAATATTGAACTCAAGAATTTGATGTGATCGGTTGTTTAATTTATGCATTTATTATCTTTTGCTATCATTCTTTTTTGTCACCTTTTTATGGGAATATTTTATTTTAATGGGAATTCATATACCTTTTCACTTCAATACATATGTATTTGTTTTATTACTTTAAATCGAGCTGACTCTACATTCTTTCTACAAATAGAATATTTTTGGCAATAGAACCTTCTCTATAGAAATAAAAAAAAAAACTATTTTGTTATTTTATTTGAACAGCAATCAGAAGTACATACTCTATAAGCTGTTAGTCCGATGTCCATCTTAGTCTAGATATATTGTTCTCAAGAGGTGCAACTCAGTGGTCTGTTCTATAGTGTGTTAGTTACTTATATATTAGATATGTTATATCTAATGGTTTTAGCGTATATAATTTTTATATGCAGCTATGCTCACGAAAGGCGATTTCCACTTGAAGTTATATTTGAAATCTATAACCTCAAGTGAAATTTGCCTGATGTTGGGCTTGGCCAAGGCGGGGATAGAACACTGTCATCTAGCTCGGGACAAGTTGGCGCTGGACCACGCCCGTACTGATTACGCCACCACGCTGGTCCCAGGAATTAAAATGATGTCCGAATTGTGATTGATTTTGATAACATGGACGGTGTACGGGCGATAGTTTGCGATTTACATTGAGTAGGATTTTTACCAAATCAGATACCAAAATATTTTTTTTACACTTTGTAAAATGTAGTGTATACCGCTACGTAGTTATAGAATTTATTTTAAATCTTCTTCGATTAACTCAGGTTGTTGGGTTATAATCTAACCCTTGTAGCTATGGACTGTATTAAACACTGATTTATTTGTAATGTATTTGTTGAAGTTCTTATTACAATGACTGATTTGTCTTTAAGTTTTAATTGAAGATGATATGTTTATTTATTATATATTATACATGTTGTTAAGCGGTGTTTTACTTTTAGAAGTGAACAATTAGTCTCATTAAAAGTCTCCGCTTCCCCCTCTACCAGGGGTATCAGCCATCCGGTGTAAAAGCTCAAAGCAATGAAGATTGTCACCTTTATGGTCAATATCATAAAACGAAAATTCATCCGAACACGTAGCTTCGTTATAGTTTTGGACCCCTCTATTATAGTAATAAATTTGTTTAACTAGATCAGTGTTACGGCACTTGAGACTCTATTCCGGGCAAGTCCGGGTCTCTTAGACCTTATACCGTTACTCGCAAATGTGTGACGTAACTATGTCGGAGATAATGCATGCTCTTCTATTGGCATCGTTGTCATTGATTGTTAGTTTGTTATTCGATATGGTTATATCGGACGCACATCTGTGTTACAACTCATACAGAGTTATTTCAATAGAGGATTACAGTTAATCGTGTTTGCAACTGACTGCAAAAACTAGGTTGTAACGATATTCAATGCCAAATTTGTTTTTTCAACTTCAACTTGAATCCTGGTTCGGTATCTTACATGAAACTATTGAGAAAAAAAATCAACTAGGTGTAAATGGCGTCCATTAATGACGAGATCGATTTTTTAATGATTTTTGGACTTCCCTCCCTCTTGGTGATATGTGGTAATATTCAAAATTAGCTCCCCCCTACTCAAATATTACGTGTATTTTTAGTTACGATAAAAAATTGTAAAATATTTGACTTTTTTTTTGAAAATGTTAGGATTTTGTTTTTTTAAATTCACGTAAAAAATAAATACTCGTGATATCTCACTAAACCCCTCCCTCCCCCCACGTGATGTGTCGTGATTTTATATCAAACCCCCCTTACACTGAAAACCTCACGTGATTAATAGACGCCCCCTAAGGAATAAGATTTCACAACTAAAAATGTCACACTTGAATTTTGAAGTTTTGACGCTGCCTATTATTCCAAGTATTAATCCTTAAAACCAAATATTTTGCTTTTTCTTCTAATTACAAAAAAACTTCTTGGTCGATCATCTGGTAAAACTAGTCAATAAGATTCTTTATCGAATTTCATCAAATCACCTAAAATTCTAAATGATAAAAGGTCAATTTTTTGACAAATATGCATCATACGCCTTTTACAATTTACCAACGATTGAGAATGACTTGAAACGTCGAGAAAACAAATTGGATTTTTTAGCGAAAACATTGATTTATTTTGGAAGTTAATAATCTATTTTGAAACAGGGGTGGACAAACCAAACTGAATTATACTAGGGACTATTTATTATTTTTATGTTTATGGGGTAACCAGGTTTTCGGTACTTGAAAATAATTACCACAAATAAAATAGTGATATATTTTTGAACATGTTTATTAAAAATTGTTGAAGATTGTTGCGTTTAAAAGATGTTCCATTTATAATATGCAAATTATTTCGCACATAGATTTAACTAGTTTCTTTTGATGACCTTTTTGCAACCCATCCTCTCCCATTGTTGTGGTTGACCTTTAGAAGGACGCATTCGTTAACACAAATACCAACTACAAATATCATGATTACCATTATACATTAAGCTTTTAAATATTGGATAAAATTAAATAGATGATGGATATTATTTATTTCATCTAGTATAATCTATTATTTCAACCTAGACTGGATAATGCAAACATAATGAGCAAAAAAATACATTTTATTTATTATGTTTGTAATTATGTATATTGTAAGCGCATCACTCTTTAGTTATTTGTAAAAATTTTCATAATTATATTAAGATTTAAATCTTGATAAGTGTAGCTTATCTAAACTTTCATCACCTTGAGAAAATTGGTTTCACTATTATTACACTAGACGAGAAATGCGGAATAAAGTCTACTTTCAACATTTAGCCTTTTGTAGCATTAGCCTTTTTTTTTTAAGAATGACTTTAATTTTTGAATTTTTTGACATTAGAATAGATATTCAATATTATTTTCATTAACTTTGGTCCTGCGATCACAAGTATCCAGATTTAATATAATTTAAAATCGGTGGTATACCGTATACAATAACGCCAACACATTTTTTGTAAATATTTTCATTGTTGAAGCTGATTTGGTGATGCCAATTAACACGACATGATTGTTTTGTTCACTTCGCACGTTCTTATTTTTATAATGGAAACAAATAATTGGGTATCGCTCATTTAAAAAAAAAAAACTACATTTATATCAAGTCTTGTGTTTTATATAGTTTGGCTGCATAATTGGAGCAAAATTTAACGAAAAAATGCAACCAAGAATAAAAAATAGTTTTTTCTGAAGAAATTTAAACCACTAATTATTAATTCTGTATAAAAACTATTAAAGGTATTTATAATATATTTATGTTTTTACAGAAATTATATAATCAAGGACAATTTGAATACTACAGTAATTATACTGACTACGTTGTCATACGGCGGTAATTAATTATCTAAACATATTTTAAATTCATTTAACAAATTATTTAGTAAATTTTGACAATGTTACCGATTTATTAAGTAATGCTAAAGTGAACTAATTTAAATTATTTACGTGTCCTTTAGTGATTCTGTTGGATAGTTTGATGTTAGAACATGATGGATTCTAATTTTTGATTTCTCGATTTCTACTAAACCAATTTACTTGGAGTTTTCAGAGAATTTTTCTTATAGACTCCTCTCTGATATATACTAAACTCATTCTCAAATTTCAATGTTTACTATTTTTGAAAATTCTAGAAATAAAAAAGTG